TTAACCAATTCTTCAGTGGTAGGGGCATGCTAGCAGTTCAAAGATATTGATTCAGTAAGCATTCTAGAAAGATACATGTTATATATGAATACAAAGGATATGTGTTTTAGTAGAACTGCTATAATAAACCCAGAAAATGTAAGACAGAGGTCACCAAGAAATTGAGGTAAGAAATTGAGACTATGAGTTAGGGAAAATCCAGACATGTTTTCCCTTTCAAAGCAAAAATTATATTATAGTATGTATATGGCTGAATACAACTCAGTTATATGTACTTCAGGGATTTGAAGGGTAGTCTTTGCATCACTGCTAAGACATCCTACATGGCTTTATCAACTTTCCTCAGCCTTCACATTCTTCCACCAGTGAAAGAACGGTATTTATATCATACATTCTTCTACTGAATCCTGTGAGTTCCTATTTATAAAGAACTATTTACATTTAAAATGGTCTCTGAAATATAAGAAATAGTGGCCATCATGCCTGTAATTAAGGCAAAGAAAAACTTAGATCTTGAACTTCACAACATTTAATCACCCATTTCTTAATCATAATCTTGAAAGAGTTGAAAAATAGAAAGACCTATTACCTCACAAATGAAATATTCAGTTGGCTATGTTTTGTTCTCTTTGCAAATCATTGACTATATTTAATTAAAAAGAAAGTACGAAACTGCTCCACATTCTAGTAAAAACTGGTTACCTCTCCTGCAGGCAGACAGGTCAAAACTGGCTGACATTTAATATTATTTATTTGCCTCAGTTTTAGCTTTAATAAATCCAAGAATCTTGAAAAGCTAAAATGTAACTATTTAAACAAACTAAGGAAAAGATACAACTTTTATAACCTTTATTATACAACATTTTCCAATGAAATTGTGGCAAGAATGAATAATGAATGAAATGCAATTGCAAAACTTTTAGAAATATATTTTTCAGCAGTATAGTCCAGAAGTTCATATCTTGTCAGCTAATGACAAATTATTCATTACTTTAAAAGGACAGATACTGGGGTAGGACTAGGGAGTGGGCATTTCATGGTTGAACTGCAAAAAATTACAGCTTTATAGTTGAAAATGTTACTGGAAAAAGATGATTGTGTGGATTGTTGATTAGGTATATGAAAATGGGAAGTGTAGTTATAGATAAATGAGAACTTAAATACAGAATGTAAACATGGAGTTCAGATGAAAGGAGAGAGAAACAGAAGTGTCAGAAAGCACTGGCATTCCCCAGTGTAAAAATAAGATTCATAGATACAAAATAGTTTTTACTTTAACTACAAAAGCAAAACAAAAAAAGACCACAGTAACAAAATGAGGCCCTTAGTTCAATTCAAAACAAGGGAAGTTAATTTTGGTTCCTACATGTCAGAGATCCAAGAGAAGGATAGGCAGAGTGTATTCAGACAGTAGAGCAAAGAAGGAACTTAAAGATATTGATATGTGCATTTTGCTTGCCAAAATTTTTTTGCACAATTACAATGGAGTGAACTAAGTGGTAAAGGCTGTTCTGCCATGTAAATACTATTCAAACTGTACTCAGAGTATGTGCTGAATTCCATATATTAGGAATTCCAACCCTTGCTGATAGAGCTGACTATATAAAATAGTTGTCACTGCCTACAGAGAGAAACTTGGAGAGCAGTTCAGCCCCAAAGGAAAGACTGACAACTTGGAAAGTGACTTGTAAATGATGCAAATATGAATTTGCAGATGCTTGAGATAAGCATAAGCACTGATTTAACAAGACAAAGAATCCATTCTGAACATTCTTGGAAACACATAATCTTTAAGAACTTAGTTAATGAGTTGAATGAAGTGGCCTAATTGAATTAATGCAGAGTGGAGGTTTGTTTATTCTACTTAAATGAAGCCAGAGCCAAAGATCCTAAAAGTTTTCATTTGCTTGTTTGTTTTGTGACAGGGAAAGAAAGGAAAGGAGGTTGTAATCTAGCCATAAAGCAGGCAGAACAAGGCATAGATCTGGGGGTCTTTAAAATGGTAGAACTGACAGTATTTGGAAACTGATTGCGATTAAGCTGAGATGTGATGTAGAAGAGGAAGAGTAGAGTTAGGACATGTTAAATGTGAGATTTTTTTCTCTTTTTTATTGATTGTATTGGGGTGACCCTGGTTAACAAAATTATACAGGTTTCAGGTGCACAATTCCACAACACATCTTCTGTACACTGAATTGTGTGTTCACCACTCCAGTCAAGTCTCTGTCCATCACCATTTATACCCCCTATACCCTTCTCCACTTCTGCCAAATCCCCACTCCTGCAATAACCACTCTGTTATACAAATCCATGAGCTTTTTCTCATTTTTTTTCTTTTTTTAATTCAATTCCTCCACCCCCCTGGCCCCCAACACTCAACCCCCAAACTTTTAAATGTCATTGAATGCTTCCAGGAATTGGATCTTAACTATCTATAGATAAACCAGTTTCTTTTTTGTCTGCATTATATTAATTGAAATTGTTCTCTTAAATAAGTTTAAAATGGCCCCAATATCTAATTTAGAATAAATAAATTACATTACTTTCCTCAATAGAGATACTTTGCTGGTAAATAGAAAAATAAAGGGTAGTAGTTTGATTCATTTTACGTGGCTTTAGTTACTCTACATCATTCCAATACAATAGGTTCTAGAAGATATAGTAAATTATTTAGGATCTTAATAAGACAAGTCAGTTTTAGCTATCCCCAGTCATTGCTTTATTCTCCTCTGTAATATGTTAGCAGAATTTTTAAAAAAGAAAGAAATCAGAGCCTCTACTTACAAAAAATATAATTTTAAAATATGTGAAATACCTGAACTTATGATCAATTACTAATTTTAAATAACACCACATTAATTTAAGAACTGTAAAAACCCATTCTAATATACTAAGAAGTTTTTCCTAATAGTCTAAACCTCTGTTGATCCCCAGCCATTTCTAGCAGCTATACTATGTAGCCCAAATCCTGTCTGTTGCTTGATTCTGCATACATAGCCAGCCAGCTGAGATTGGTTTTTATAGATGAACACTTGTGGTCTATATGATGATAGAGAATGCTAACTTTTGATCCCCAAGTAAGCAAAATGTTGACCCCAAATAGAGAATCTTCTTGTTGGTACACCTGTATTACATGGAAAATTAAATTATTATGCAAAAGAAGTTATATTCAATTATTACATTTTTAATTTTGTGATAAATTTTTGTGGAAATTTGTTTCCTATTGTATAAACATACCTGAATAATAGCCTTGATTTTTGCCTCTTGACATGCATAAAATATTAACTATCTAGCCTTTCTCTTTCATTTATTTTTTTTAGTCATTCAAACAACAGATCAGCAAAGAGTTTCTGTGCACTCCCATATGCCAGACACTGTTCTAGGCCCTTGAGACACAGTTGGGAACAAGATTTGATAAAAATCTTGCCCTCATGCCAAGACTAGTTTGGCTCAATGGATAGAGCGTCGGCTTGGGGACTGAAGGGACCCAGGTTCGATTCTGGTCAAGGGCATGTACCTTGGTTGCGGGCATATCCCTAGTAGGGGGTGTGCAAGAGGCAGCTGATCGATGACTCTCTCTCATTGATATTTCTAACTCTCTATCTCTCTCCCTTCCTCTCTGTATAAGATCAATAAAATATATTTTTTAAAAAATCTTGCCCTCATGAAACTTATATTCAAATTATATACATTATTACCTCACTAGTGCCCTGTTCCATTATTCCTATTCCATATATAGGCAAATTGAGGTTCAGAACATTTGTCTAGCTTACCTGGAGTCTCTCTGCTGAACTAAACCCAGTTATGCCTGACTCCAAAGCTTGAGCCTTTGACCAGTGAATTGGGCTGGCTTCATGGTGGGGCTCCTTCTGTCACCATCTTCAAATTCTTTTTTTTTAATATATCTATTACCCCCCGCAAAAAAAATTCTTAATCATTTTTAGACAAATTTTTTAAATAATAAGTAAATTTTCATTTTGCCCTTGGCCCTCAAAATTATGTAGTTGGCTCTTCCTCTGAGGCAAAAGTGCTTCTCTGTCAGATCACATTTCTACCAAATTGTTTTTCTTTTCTAAAAAAGGAATCATCTATGAAGGAGGCTTGTAATATATCACTCTAGGAAAATCAGCTCTTATTAATCTACTAGAAGCCCAGTGCATGAAATTCGTAAACAGGGGGATCCCCTCAGCCCAGCTTGCACCCTCTTACAATCCAAGACCGCTCAAAGGATGTCCGACTGCCAGTTTAGGCCCGATCCCAGGGATCATTTTGTTAAATCATTATATTGAAATTATATACATTTTCACCCAGGATCCAGCCTAAACCAGCAGTCAGACATTCCTTTCATAATCTGGGACTGCTGGCTCCTAAACACTGGCCTGCCTGCCTTCCTTATTGACCTGAACCACTCGCCTGCCTGCCTCATTGCCTCTAACCGCCTCTGCTTGGGTCCCCGCTGCCATGGCTTTGTCCAGAATGACGTCTGGAAGGTTGTTCAGCTGTCCATCCTAATTAGCATATTATGTTTTTATTATTATAGGTTGTTTTATCTTCCAGCTCACCAAAATACTAGAAGTTCCTTAAGGACCAGGACTCTCTCACACAATAGTGTTTTGTTAAGTCCCACTATACCTAAAGCTCTTTTGAGAACACATTGACTACAGAATAGATATTTTTCAGTGGGGCTTCATGCTTGGTATAATGTTAATTCCATTACTATCTGAATTTTGTCAAGGGTAAGACTCTGTCTCCTCTTATTTTAATTCCATGAAAGAGAAAAATGTTTACCACCAACACTTTCTTCTAATCTATATACATTTGTAAATTTTGAAATAGATTTTAGATCTAAATTAAATAGAACACAAGAACTGGCCTGTTCTAATATAAGGAAATGTTTTATCTGGCAGTCAGTGACTGCAGCATTTATGTCTTTGAAGGATACTCCCAGTTGACTGTATGTAAACAGATGCTTTATCTTCCTCTCTTTCAATTTTTTGCAGCCAAGTCATTGTTGGATAAGTGAAATGGTGGAGCAATTATCAGTCAGCCTGACTGATCTTCTGGACAAGTTTTCAAATATTTCTGAAGGCTTGAGTAATTATTCTATTATAGACAAACTTGTAAAAATAGTAGATGATCTTGTGGAGTGCTTGGAAGGACACCCATTGAAGGTAACCTTATATTCATTTGGATTGGTTTCTACTACTCTTCTCTAAAACCTATATTGATGGGAAGGGGGTGCGGCATCTTTGTTTGTGTGATATTTAATGTAAAAATTTTAATTTAAAAATATTTTGAAACATGAGTACAGAAATACATGTTTGTAGTTACACTGCAGTGTTGAAATGTACATTAAAACTTAAAAGTTGTCATTTAATGTAAAAATTGATTTACACTACAATGTAAGACCAGCCCTAATTTTACCTTTATTTCATAGGTGAATGAATTTATCATAACTTTTCTATTAGGTTACAAATGTTCTTTTACCTTTAAATGGGAAACTGTCTGTAATGATCACTTAAACTTGGCCTCTTATCCATAGTAATCATGTCATTACAAAGAAGTAGATTTTCATATCTCCAAGTCATTTTCTGATTAGTTGTTATCAACTTCAGAATATCAGCATGGCAATATTTGGGACCTAAACATATTGAAGAGACACTAGGATTAAGTACAGTACAAGGTTTGGAGTTCAGATCCTGACTTGGTCACTAATTAGCTCTGTGAACTTTAGTAGAGTTGACATGAGATGATTTGTGATGAGTGCTTTAGCACTGTATCTGGCAAAATAAAGATTAATATTTTTATAATGATAGTTTTATAATTTTGGATCTATAATAAAATAGGATTTGGGAGACATACTTGGGCATAGAGTTCACAAGCCCAGGTTTAGCCTACAGGCTTTCTAGAAGTTTAAACCTAAGATTTTAAATATGATTTTGTACCATAATGTTCAAATACTTCCTCCTCTTCGAAAGTGCAATTACACTGTAAGGCCCAATATCAGTCCTATTTGTATTCTCTAATCTCAGAATTCTTGTCATGCTAGTAAATCTAATCACTATATTTATTCACTTCTCATTTCTGAGTCAGAATGTATTTATATATATAAAAGCCTAAGTGACAGTTCAACTGTCCAACTGGTTGCTATAACACATACTGACCACTGGGGGAGAAGACACTCAATGCAGGAGTTGCCCCTGGTGGTTGGTGCACTCCCACAGTGGGAGTGCTGCTTGCCTGACTGATGGGCACCAGATGTTGGGCTGATGGTTGGCAAGTACAGCTGTGGTGGCATTAGCCTCCCCCACAGACCCGCCCCTTGCATGTCCTTCCCCCATCCAGAATGGATCAGGATCAGGATCAGCACTGGGACTGACTGGGTGCAAGACCACAGCCTCTTATTGGTTATGGGCACGCTGGTATCAGCCTAGGTTGGGCACGAGCCTACTGAGCTACAGTGATGCAGGCATAGAGGGGCAGGCGCAGAGGGGACCAGGTGAGCGGGAGTGGCACAGCACCCGGCCTGGGCTCCGGCTCCTCCCTGGCCGCCTGCCACTTTGTGCACTACTACATTTCTCGGAGGATGTCAGGCTGCCAGCCACACCAAGGGATCCCACTAGTGCACAAATCCATGCACCAGCCTCTAGTCCCATATAATAAAAGGCTAATATGCTAATTATATCCTCAACTGGTAGTTCAATCAGGGGGTGGGGCTGGCTGGCCAACTCCTGTGGCCCCTCCCCTTGACTGGCCCCCTTCCCAGTCAGGCCCCCCCTAACCCAATCAGCGGCGGGGCTGGCTAGCCAACCTCCCGCATCCCCTTCTCTTGGCTGGCCTGGCCTGATTGGCCCCAATCAGGGCAGGCCAGCTGGACCCTACCAATGCAAGAATTTGTGCACTGGGCCTCTAGTCTTATAATATATGACATCTTAGAGTTAACATCTCTTTTTACATCATATTAGTATCATGTGCTGATAGCATTGATAAAGAGTAAGTATATCAGACAAGTTGTCCTAAAGAAAATAATATATGCAGTGTAGCTTGAAGGATGATGTAGGTGTTCAGTAAATGGTGATGTCAGGAAGAACATTCCAAATACCAAAGAATGTGCCTTTAATAATTATGATGTTTTGGCTGGAACCCAGGAGATTCGTACCAGGTGGTACTTCTCAGTTGTTTTGGAGATTGAGTAAACATATACAAAGCACTTAGAGAGGCACATAGTGCTACATAAGTGTTAACTTGTATTATTGCCTGGTTTTCTTTATAGATAGTCATGCATTTCTGAATTCCTAAAATATAGCTTTGATTTGCTTTTAGAGGGACTTTAGAACTTACTCATATTCTTTATTCTTTTGTGACTTCTTTCACTGAGCATCATGTTTGTAAAATTTACACACTTTGATGTATATAGCTGTGGTTACATTTTTACTGCTTATATAATATCCCATTGATTGAACATACCATATTGATTAAACCACTCCCCTGTTGATTGATGTACATATTTATAGACACTGCTGGTAAGAACTTTCCTGTTTGGCTCATGGTACAAAAAGGCAAAAGCTTCACTAGAGTCCCTACCTAGAAGTGGAATTTTTGGGTCACAGGATGGACTCATGTCCAACTTTACCAGCTAATATCAAACATGCCAATTTATGTCATCCCATCAATGTGTAAGAGTCCCTTTGCTCCATCATGTCCTTGCCAATATTTAGCATCAACTGTGTTATAGAGGTCTGTTTTTTGTCGTTGTTGTTTTTGTGTGTGTGTGTGTGTGTTTGTGTTTTTATTTATTTATTTATTTTTAGTAAGGAATAATGATTTTAATAGCACCTTAAAAGAGCAATATCTCTAATTTGTTGTTAGGATTATTTTGTTGTTATGATGTTGAATTCACCTGCCCACCCTATTCCTTTTATCTGGAGTTGAGTCTCAGACTAAACTGGGCAGGATCACTATCGTGCTGTACCTATATGAATTATGTATATTAACAAAATTGTTTAAGAGAGTTCAGTTTCCTTGAGTCATTGAAGGACATAGTCTTTTACTTTGCCATTAGTTAACATCTGTAGACTCCTTGAAAAATATAATCTTGCTTTTGTCTTCTTCTAGAATGTAAAAAAGTCATCTAACAGCCTAGAACCCAAGATGTTTACTCCTGAAGAATTCTTTAGAATTTTTAATAGATCCATCAATGCCTTCAAGGACTTGGAGATGGTGTCATCTAAAACTAGCGAATGTGTGTTTTCTTCAACATTAAGTCCTGACAATGGTAAGACATATAAGGATTTCTAATTTAACTATAAAAGCAAGCTTGATTCTCGTATGTGTAGGTAAGAATCTACCTCTGAATCAAATATATGTGTAGTTAAAGAAAGATGTATGTGTGTTTTGTCTAATATAAAAGCAAATGTCAAGCATAAAAGAAATGGTTATAGATTTGTTTTTCAAGCCAAAGCAACTAATGATTGTCACATTAAAGAATTTTGTGTGAGTAAACAATGAATGAAATCATCACTCATTTTTCTTACCTGCTATATTTGCCAGTAATTTACAATTCTGTTATTCTTCACCTCCCATTTTCTTACGTCCCTTTCTCAAATCTTTTCTAAAGGATCTAACTCTGAGGCATGAATTCTTATCTTTACTAGTTACTCTGTCTTGAGACTCTTTCTCCCCCCACTCTCTTTCCTGGGGTTCCTATAATACAAAATCTTAATTACAGTGCTTTTCTTTTAAATGGCCAATTATGAACAATTTGTAACTTTACATTTATCGGCCTGTATAGGCAATGAATTTTTGTTCTATAAGGTGACTGGTAAATTTCCTAATAAAAATAGAACAGCAAGACCCAGGATGAAATAAATAGGATATGAATCATCGAGATTTGTAAATCTGAGAAATACTTTGGTATTGCACTCTACCTTTTGGGGACTCTGTAATTTATGTAAATCACCGTGCAACACTGACACATTATTGCTTTCTATTTAGATTCCAGAGTCAGTGTCACAAAACCATTTATGTTACCCCCTGTTGCAGCCAACTCCCTTAGGAATGACAGCAGTAGCAGTAATAGTAAGTACACATATCTGATTTAATGCATGCATGGCTCCAATTAGCACCTCTGGGAGTATTGCATGGGCTTTAAAGGAAATTCTGCAATTATTGCTGTGAATACTGTTTCATTACTGTTCTTCCTATTATGGTCTTCCTGAGAATTGAGGATTAGGCTTGTAGAATTGGGTTTCCCTACAGTTTGAGATGACAATGAGAGAATTGAGCCAATAATTTTTTTTTGCTAAGATTATTTTAAATAAGGCATTAAATTACTTTTAATGAAGATTACTCATTCTTTTCTAATAGTAGCACCATAAAGATATAAATGTCTTTGTAAGCATGTTTAGCTGCACCCCACACAATTTGATATGCTGTGTTTCCATATATATATGATTTAATCTTATGTTGACATAAAATATATTCCGTGTAGAATTTGCCTGAATTTTAGAACAGAAAATACAAATGCTAGTTGTGTGGAATTCCAAGGATATTTTCAGTTTTGTATATATCACTAGTTACTGTTGTGTGTTAGGAAATTTGATGATTTTGTTATTTCACTATAAAATTATATGTTAAAAGAATATCCTTTTCCCCCTGCAACCCCTGTCCGCTTTGACCAAGAGCTTAGTTTCCTGGAAGTCTAATATCCTCTTTTTAAATCTAGGCAAAGATTATTAGATTTACTAAATATTTTGACCCTCAAGTCTCATGCAAGAGGAAAAAAATCATCCTGTGATCTTAGCTAAAAAGTCATTCCTTAAAATTTATTAATAGGGTACTGTTATATGTGTAGGGATATAGAAGACCTATCTGTAAAAAGAAATAATCTATTAATTACAAATCCACGATAGCAATTCTATATTTCATAAATTTTTAAAAAGACCCTCTAACATCCAGTTTGTTTTGGAATTTTTGCCTCCAAAACCTGACTTTAGTTGAGATGAGGCTATTTATAGTCTTTATTCTTCTTAAAGCGACTACGCATTTCACTGTAGAAATATTAATGTATTTAATTGCAGGTTGCTATCCAGACCTCTCTGAGGGAATCATATAATACACAATGTATGCAGGACAGAACCTTCTAAAACCTAAAATTCTGAATTACAGGATACTTCAAATCTGGAAAGTTTTGTAAAGAGATTGTGTTTATTAGACAATTAAGGTCTTTCTTACTAATTATGGATTTTATTAATCTTTTCAAAGAAGCAACTTTTGGCATCTTAAATTATATATATTTATATTTCATTGATTTCTAATTCTTTATTTCCTTCATTCTGCTATGGGTATAATTTGCTCCACTTGTTCTAGCTTCATAACGTCACAAGGTGGAAAAATTAGACTGCTAATGTTAAACTCATTCTTTTCTAATAGAAGCACCGTAAAGATATAAATGTCTTTGTAAGCATGTTTAGCTGCACCCCACACAATTTGATATGCTGTGTTTCCACTGTAATTTCTTTAACAATATCTTAATTTCTCCTTGTGATTTCCTCTTTGATTCAAGTGTTGTTTGAAGTATAAAAATGGATTTCCTCTAGCTGTCTTATTGTTATTGGTTTCTAAATTAATTATTGTTGGAGAACATACTTTGTAATATTTTAAAATTTGACTTATTTTATGTCTATTATTCATATATGATGTGTAGCATTCTCAGATTTAATTAGATTCAGATTAGTGTTATTCAGATTTTTTATATCATATTTTTTATCTAACTTTTTATCATTTATTGAGAGACAGGAATTAAAAAATCTTCCCATCATTGTAGATTTTACTTAAAAAAAAAAAAAAAAAAAAGCATCTCTCTGGTAGGCAGGATTGGTTGAGCCTTGCTATTGTATCTAGTTTTTCTGACTTTCAATTAGAGTTTTTTTCATTCATTTATATTTGATACAATTATTGGTATAGTTGATTATGGGTTTACCATTTTGTTATTTGTTTACTGTTTGCCCTGTTTTTTGATCCTCTGTCCTTCCTTTCCAGCTCTCTTTCAGGTTAAAGCATGTGTGTATATATATATGTTCATTGTATTTTAATTAATTTGTTCTGAGTAGCATTATAAAATCTCTCACTGTCCTTCTTCATCCCACCGAGACATCCTGTGTCCATTCTATACATACTACCTGCCTTTTAAGTCACTTAATAGCCAGAAACATCTCTCCATTCTTGCTCATCAGAATTCCATTGTATCTGAGTGATGGTTAGGGTCTCGGATAAAGTCACAGCTTCCCAGGCATCATTCAGTGTATTGGCAGGCTCTGTGAAGTCTCTCCCTGTGCATGTGCAGCCTATTATTTGACCTATGACTTAAGCAGACTCTCCTGGAAATTTTTTACACTCCTCTGCTCAGCTCCTTTCCTGCAACTCACCCTGCTCCACAAACTCCAGCCACATCAGCAACCATGAACTTCAGTCTGAGTCCCTGTCTCAGTGAGAATTCTGAGTTCTACTTGGGTCCTGTCTTCTATGCCTCAGTCTGAAGGTGCCTCCCAGCCAAAAAATTAGGACCATTTTGAGTTTCATTGTGTGTGGTTTTGATCTTTCTTGTGTGGCCTGTTGGCTAATGTCTGAAACAGCTGCCTGAAATAATTTGTCTAGTATAGTAATTTTTATCTTGTATTGTCTAGTATAGTAATTCTTATCATGGTTGGAAGCAAAAGTCTTTCTACTTACTTTAAAAGACAAACTGAATGCAAAACCCCATTCAGTCCTATGCTTCTGAGTCTGAAGGTGCTTTTTAAATTGCAAAAGGAATATCCAGTCTTTTTGTTGTTTGTTTTGCTTTCTTTTTTCTTCCTTTTTGTAAAAAGTATGGGTCTTACATAATAAGCAGCTTTTGGCCTAGGTGATGTCACTCACAAATGTGGCACTTAGACTCCCATGCACAAGATCAGTTTTTAGGGAGCTTGCATTATCATAAGAAAAACAGACATAAATGAAGTACTTAGAATTTTATCATACATATAAAATACACAGTTGACCCTTGAACAACATGGATTTGAAATGTGCAGATCCATGTACAGTACACATGGATGTTTTTTTCAGTAAATACTTGTACTATTTTTTATCTGCAGTTGAGAGTTCATGGATGGGAAGGTAAACTATATTAATTGATCTATGCCTTTTACAAAGGGGACTTGAGCATCCCCAGATTTTTGTATCCACAGAGAGTCCTAGAACCCCTTCCTGTCAACCTGTCCCCCTTGGGTAACAAGAATAGTTAAGTTTTGGGAAGTCAAAAGTTACACTCGATTTTCGACTGCTTGGGGGGTTGGTTCCCCAAACCCTGCATCAAGGGCCAACTTTATATTATTATATTTATATATATATATATATATATATATATATATATATATATATATATATGTGTGTGTGTGTGTGTGTATGTGTGTGTGTGTGTGTATGTGTGTATGTGTGTGTGTGTGTCTATTATATATATATAATAGACATATGTAACTGTTTTAGTCATAGCATAAAGGAAGGAAGACTGCTTTGGAAACAGGGTCAAGAAAATATGAAGATAGAATGCTAGTTTTCAGGGATAACAATCAAAATGTGACCGTGTTAAGCAGAGGACTGGGCCATATAAAGGAGTCGTCCAGAGATGTACGTGTCCTCTCTGTAGCATGTAAAGGCGATCCAAGTTATCCAAAGGAGTTGTATTTTCAAAGTCACAGTAACACATCTTTGTGCCAGGCTAAAAGGATATCTAAAAGTGCTTGAGATCCTTGCAGACAGTATTTAGGTGATATAGAGAGACATCCTTACTTTGACATTACTGTATACATCTTCAAGAAATATAGTCTTAAGTCAGACTGCCTTGGGTTCATATCCCAGCCCCTGCCTAGCTGTGTGACCTTGAGCAATATACTTAATCCCTCTGGACTCCCGAGTCAAATTGAGCACAATGCATCCCTCATAGGGTTTCTGTGAATTTCAAATGTTAGCACACATATACTCGGAGCCATGTCTGACCTGTAGTTTGTGTTCACCATTAATTATTAGAACAACTGGATATACTGAGGCAGTGGGTCAATAATTGGATGAGCTTTGGATCTGAACCAAGGAGCAGCACCAAGTAGCACGTTTGCTAAACACCAAAAGATCCCTGTTCACGGGCGTGGTACTTACAGACTCACTCTAAAAAGGAGCTCCACAAATTTGAAGCATAGTTTTTTGTGTGTTCTGTATTTGTACAGATGTTGGGTATTACTAGTCAAACCAAGCAAGTCAGTTCCCACGAATTTTGGACAGTGGAAAGTTTTTGTAATACTGAGATACAGTTAATATGTTAACAACCCAAGAATTTGGGATTACTCAAATCCTATCCAGATGAGCTCCCTGACTCCATAAGGTTTCTCTGAGCAGCCTTTACTTCAAAGCAAAGCTTTGTTCCTGGCTTGGGCTTTGGCCCCAAACACCTTGAGACGCCTGATTCAAACCTTATTGATCCTTGGAAAGCAGCAGAAGCAAGTGTCGGGAGTCAGGCTCAAGAGGTGCAAGCAAGCCTTTTCTGACAGCATTTTTTTCTCTCTCTGCAAGAGATAGGGCAGTATCATTAGACAGAACCAAGGGCTTGGATATTAAACTACTTGAATTAACAAAAGCAATAACAAAATTGAAGAAACCTTGACCTCTAGACCTATGGGAGGTGAAGTTCAGTTCCCGTGGTCCCATTCCCTCCCAGTCTTCTCTAGGCTGCTGCTGGCGGGCTTTGCTTGGGGCCAGAGTCCTGGGATGGACTTTCCAAGTGGTTAAAAGGCCACAGTACCCAGAGAGAGAAGTAAGATTTCCTTGTTAGGTTTCCTTGTTAGGGCTTTGTTTGGAACACCTCCTTTAGGAGCTTGTGCTTCTACCTGAGAAAGATTTTAAGTGGGGAAATCCCAGAAGACTTCACTCTCTAGTGAGTTCCTTGTGCTTTTTGGCTAGTGGCCGTGGTCTCTGCTCTGGTCTGAATGGCGCAGTTCAAGATTTGGCCTTTGGACAAAACAGGGCAAACAGGGCATTCGGCTGCCTTGATTCCCGGGCATGTGACTGCCCAAACGTAGCTCATGGCATTCCACATAGCACCATCCTAGCTCATTGGTTTTCCATGGGGGCTGGAGGGAAAAAGTCAACAGCTTCCTTTAGACATTGGTCAGGGCTCCTCAAGGAGGTGACCTGGTCAAATTTATCAAAATTACACTCCAGCAATCCCAGTATCGAGTGTGGGTCACAGCGGGTTGACTAGTAAGGAAAATTCAAACACATTCCTGGAGTGCACACACAAAGAGTTTAATCATTTATAGAGAGTAAAATAAAATTCCCCAAATGGTAGGAATTGCATGTAAAATTCTGAACCCATTTTCTTTTAGGAAACACTTTTATAAAAATGGTGGTTAAATCCCAAATTAGTGCCCATAACCCTCAAAGTAACTATTATTGTAACAATAGTAACACTTCAGTTATACCAAATCTCATTTTTTAACTCAGAATAATTTTGGTGAGAGAATTCACATTGAGCTCCAATTTAAGATGACTAAACTATATTTCCCATAGGGATTGTAGGATGTGGGCTGGACCAGAAAAACTGCTAATGAAGTCTTAAGGAAGCGATTCATTGTTATATGAATGGAAGACCTCACTTCCCTACCTAGTCCCACTGTCCCTTACATTACACACCCACTACCACTCACTGCCCCCAACATGTGCACACACACACATCCTATTACCAGAGCCTCATTGGAAACAGGAATCATAAATTTGGCAAATTTTCTACTTTAATCATAAATTTGGCAAATTTTCTTCTTTTTTAAATGATGGGGAAATAGGCAATTTCTGTTCTTACTAGAATAGATAAGATTTGTTTCTTGCCTCTCAGGTTAAATTTATGAGTTTATTTTTTCCTAAATGTTGCTGCATGTACAGTGATTCAGTTCTTTTGTATTATGTTCTATAGTTAGGTGCTTTTTATGTTAAATAGGTGAGTGTAGGCTGACAAACTCAGAAACATGGTAAAATATCGTAGCGAAAGCAGTTGCTTTATCTTGGATTAGTTTACACTTTGATCAATCATTGAAACTGTATACTTTCCAAACTTCCTGCATCTTTAAAAGAAAACTGAGATTTTTAACTTCCAAAATGGCATGCGTCAGTGTTTCCAAACAACAAAGCTGTTCCCTGTCAAGAAACTGAGAAAACTCTGTCAAAATGCTAAACTTTGTGTTAGGAGGTAAAGACCCTTGCAGGAGAAGCGTTTTGTTTAAATTATGAATCATCCTGCTTCTATTGAAAGATCAAAGCAGGAACAAGGAAGGTGTTCCATGATAATATATGTTTTTTTTTCTCTCACTAAGTTATTATTTAGAGTAAGCAATGGGAGACACTGGTGCTTTCAGTTATTTGTTAATGTTCAATAGTCTCGACTTTTCAAAATAAAAAATCTGAGAAATCAAGTCTTAGCAGCTAGATGTGGGGGACATCCCGCCCATGGGCCATATAAGCCCTGCAAAATCATTTGGTCTGGCCCTGCCAAGGCATTGGGAGTGAGTTAATTAAAGGTTTGACCAAATATAGCAGGTTAATTTTTAAGTTAATAAATTTATATTGCCTGTGAATCATGTTATAAATATCCAAATGGCCCTTGGCAGGAAAAAGGTTCCCCACCCCTGCTTTAACCCATAGCACAGGGCCAGTTACTGCCTGGCATCCAGCAACTGTGTGTTGAAGATGCAATGAGGAGACACCATGATTCTAAGCATAAGGTGCCAAAAAGTAATCTAACCACTATGCATGCAGAATGGCAGTGCTTGCAGACCTTGATCTGGATTACAAAATGTCATCTTTACAAAATTGCTTGGGTAGATATCAAGAATGAGAAAGTGAAAGATATTAGAAGATAAAGCCACAGAAGATGGATTTGCTTGGTAATATAAATCACCCTCCCGTCCCCAAACCCAGGAATACATCTCGTCTGCGTTCCCTATGCATCAACATTAACCAAGTCAAATATCTTTTTGTCTGTGTTTTTTTTCTTTTTTTCTTTTCTCTTTTTCAATATATTTACCTTTTGGAAACTACATGGATTTATATTTACATTCCCAAACAATACTCAGCAGAAAAATCAGTGGTTTAAATATTTCAAACAGAGATAGGTCAAGAGCGTGTTACAGTAATAGGCGGGAGCTACCAGAGCGATAGAGCAGAGCCTCCAGCATAGATATGCTGTGCTCACCACTGTCCTTTTTAAATTACAGGGAAGGCCTTGAATTCCATTGGTGACTCCAAGCTGCAATGGGCAGCCATGACATTGCCAGCATTCTTCTCTCTTTTAATTGGCTTTGGTTTTGGAACCTTATACTGGAAGGTAAGTGTTGTTTTTATTTTCCTTGATCAGAAACTTTCTAAACTTTATATATTTATTTGTTCTTAGTATATTTACATAAATGGTTAACAAACAAATTTCCCTTTTCTGAGAGAAGATCTCACTAAGAAAATGATAAAATAAGTGAAGTTGAACCTTAACTTAATTACAACAAATTTAAAATCTTAGAAAGGTTTCTTTGCATTACCTATTATACTTAGGAGACCAGTACTCTGGCCAAGAATGCAGACTGAAGCAATGCAACGGTGTTAAAAGCTTTAACTAAATATAAAATGAAAGGAGAATATGTTGAAAATCTTATAAAGCCAAATGGAAATGACATTTGTATTATCTGCTAATTTAGATTTCTACTCCTTTGTTCTCTTTTTAAACCTGTCTAAAAGTTTAAAATATGCTAAATCATTGTGACTCAGCTTTTTAAAATGTCTTTTAAATGTGATTACTATTTAAATCTTTCAGTTTCTTTATTACGTTTTTTGCCTCCAATAGTCTAAAAATGTTGAGTTGATAATACCATGCATTTCTTATCATTTCTTAATGAAAAAATATCTCACATGCTGCATGCTGAAGACAATTGTTATTGGAGTTATTGACGAAAGATAAAGGTAGAGACCACTAACCTCTGAAATAGTATATTATGCATTGATAATTTTATATGTATCACTGTTTTTTGTTTTTTTTGTTTTTTTTTCCAGAAAAAACAACCAAATCTTACAAGGACAGTTGAAAATATAGAGATTAATGAAGAGGATAATGAGATAAGGTATTTTGTTTTACTAAGTGTGTGCACAAGTAATCTTGTGATTACTTGTGCATGCTCAGAATACCTATAAGAAGTGGTTCACTCTTATAATAGCATCCCCCAACCAGTGCCCTCCAGTCTTTATCCACACTCTAACCCCTCACTCCTTCTTCAAGCCTACCTCTCCATTCAGCTGTAGAATACCTTCACAACCCTTGGGTGTCAGAAGTGGTCCTCTCTGCTTTATTTCTTGCTCAGACTTCTGGTCTTGGAGCTCGGTAGGCACGTTTACTTATCCTTCTTTTCCACGCTGTTGCCAAGACATACTGATTCCTCTCTCAAATCTCTCACAAGCTGAGCTTTTAGTTTGGCCATACGTATTAGCTTCATCCAAGTCTTTATTATGTTTTGCCTGAGTTGCTGCCACAGAATGTGTCTTTTTCTTAGCCCCTCTAAACTCTCCATTTGTCTCATTCTTCTTTAAACTTTGGCTCATAAGATCATTTCCAAGTCAAGATACTTGCTACTTTGTTATTTTTCTCTCGCATACTTAATAATGTTTGCCATCATTCTCGTTTTTAGAGCCCTTAACTTTTCCAACCTATCATTATCTCCAAAGACAAATATAAGAATTACTTTAAGATACCTTTCCATTTACTGTAGGTGACCCTGATCACGTGTTTATCTTATGCCATATTTCCCAGTACTGATACCTTGATTTTATGTTCAGGTTTGATTTTCATTTGTCTTGTTACTTTCTCTCAGATCATGCCTGTATATACGGATTCACATGTTAAATACATATAAGCATTTTTAGTATGTGTATATGCATAGAGAATTTAAAAAGCTGCTTGGGAAATTATATTGAGGCAGATAAATTCTTCCTTCATTCTTATAGTTATTCTTATGAGGGTAAACTTCCTACTCAACTTTGCCACCTTTTGTTACTGTATTTACAGGGGGAAGAGAGGGATCTGCCTTTTAAAATGCTTAGATCATTTCAGAATTTCTGTCCAAAAGAAAATAAGCATTTTTCTTGTTGTTTTTCAGTATGTTGCAAGAAAAAGAGAGAGAGTTTCAAGAAGTCTAATTGTGGCTTGTATCTACACTGTTACTTTCGTATATTGGTAAGTTTTTTCAAATTCAAGCTGAAATATTTAACAAAAATTACACAGCCAAAATTTAGAAATCACATGTATTATCTTCTATTGAGCTGATATCAGTATGTTAATGGTAAGGCTCTGTTATATTTGAACTGTATATTTCAAATCCATTGTTACTCTGAAGCTTTGAAAGGCAGAGCAGTGCTCATCCTGACCAGTAGGTTCATCTGGTATGGGAGATATGTAAAAAATCAACAGATAAGTGTTTATTATTTCTGAGGCCAGAAAATAAATTACACAAGGGAATAGAGTAAATTAGGACTAAAATAAAATATTATTAATAGAGAAAGAAAAAATAAAATCAATTTCAATTAGGTGTAACTACTGTAATGATAGCAAAAAGTATTTCATCTATTAAATGCTAAAAGGAGCACAAACTAGAAACACTTTCTTGCCATTTTAAGGAGAAGGAGAAAGGTCAAAATATCTTAGAGTCAGGAGAGGGAAACTGTCAAGGTAAAGTGCCACCTGCCACATGACTGGTGATCATTGTCCCTCATCACAGGACAGAGTCCAGGAGGTACTGAATGTAAACCAGTCACAGATAACCTGCTGTGGTTGTGTAGGTCAGGGGCTTGGAGGATGAGGAAGAGAGAAAACACGTCCAGAAGGTGTGGGTGTTCCAACTCCAAACACTGTTGGGGGGATCACCCTACACGGTATTCACCTCGTCTAGCATGGAAGGGTTCATGCTCGTCTCTCTTTCACTTCTGCCAACTGGCTCTTAATCTTGTTACGCCCATGGAGTCCTGGGTGCATTTATGACCATGGGGTCTGCGTGTTCTCTCATGCTTCGTAGTTCTTCCCATCCTCTCTCACAATCACTAACCCTCCAAGATGACATAGAGATTCAGTGGTGATCCTGGCCTTCTTCCAACTTGCACTTCTGTCCCAGATTCCAACATTTAGCTCTAGATTTAAACCTCACCCAGAAAACTGGGTCACAGAGCCTTCTGCCTCCTCCAAGAGTGCTCACTTTTATAGGTACAGAACGTTGCTTTCAACAATCCCAAATAACATGATACGATAATAATGATGCACATTTCTCTAACACTTTAACCTTCTGCACAGACTTCGTTTTTGCCTATAAACATGCTCTTGATCTGTGCCCAAAGCATGAATCCTAGCTTCTTTCTAGGCTCAGTTTTCCTGTGATATGATGTAAATGAATACAACCTTAGTGTGGCTCTTTTTATTTTCTGGAGTCACATTCCCCAAGATGAAGTCATTGTCTTTGCCTAGAAATCTATTTCTCTGTCCCACAACCCGAACACAAGCCTCACTGTAACTTCCCTGTCTGCCATTTCAGTCCCCTCAGCCAGACATCCCAAATTGCACATTAAACAGTTAATTGAGTCATAAAAGTGCAAGCAATGTCCTCTGCTGCTTGGCTTTGGATTGCACTGCTGGGACCCTGTTCTGGCACACGGGTCTTTAATAATGTGTTTTTAATTGGAGCCTTTGTCCTGTGACATTTAGAGAGTTGACTATGTGATGAGAAAACCCAGGGCACTTATTTAAGAGACAAAAAAACATGGCATTTTAAAGTAATTGTAATCAAGCAACTTTTGCATCAGTCTACTAGCCGGGGAGCATTAAGGACAGGAACCACGCCTGTCCTATTCTCGCTGTAGCTCCTCACTTGTTGGCAGTACATTGCAGACTCTCACTAAGTGTTTGCTGAATGAACAACTGAGTGAATGAATAAACCCTGAGTGAAAGTTTACAAAGTAAGGAGAAAACCATGAGATCTACTGCACACTATATCTACAGTTAACAATGCTATTGTGTGTACATAAAATAAAAGTGTGTTGAGGGGAGATCTCACATTAGGTTTTCTTGCCTCAATAAGATAAACAATTTTAATTGTTGATTTTGGTCACTAGAACAGTAAAGTGTACCATACTCATATGGGAAATGACTAATTTAGTTTTTCTAAAATATAAACTATTATCCATGTATAAAACAAATTAAAGTAGACAGGTTAAAAACCAAGCCCTGGATTTTTTAGAAATAAACTTATTGCATATCCAGTAGTCAGTATAAAATGAAGGAGTGGCATAATCCTTCATAAGGTACCTTCCTCCTCATCTCTGCAAAACTCCCTTAAGACTCAGCTCAGATACCACAAACTCCAAAACGCTAACTACCTTCATGAAAGTAATCCCCCATGATGGCCTTCTGTGTTTTGTTACTTTCCATGTGACCTTTAATACTGATATATAATATTAGCAGTTACTTACACAGACATTTTGTTTCCTCTTCCAATTGACAAGCTTGTAAAAGGCAGTATTTGTTTCTCCCCGGGCATGTAAGTGATGAGTAAGAATGTGTTCAGTAAATAAGTGGGGAGATTTGAATGAGTATCTCAGAGCATTGCAATAATATGAGAATACAATTGATGGAAATAAGCCCTAGATGGTGTTGCCAGGTGGTTAGAGTGTCGGCCCAAGCACTGAAGGGTTGCAGGTTCGATTTCCAGTCACGGCCATGTGCCTTGCATTGCAGGTTGAACCCCAGCCCTGGTATGGCAGGCAACAAATTGATGTCTATTTGTCTCACATATCTCTCTCTTTCTCTCTTCCTTTTTCTCTTTTTCTCTCTCTCTCTCCCTCTCCCTCTCTCTTCCTACCTCTCCCTCCCTCTCTTCTTCTTTTTTTTTGGCTTTTTATTTTTTTATTTTTTAAGTGTTTTTATTAAATTATTATCTCTGTACATATACCATTGCCCCCCCTCCCGTACATGCCTCCCTCCCCAGAGTTTTGTGTCCATTGGTTGTACTTATATGCATGTATATAAGTCCTTCGGTTGATCTCTTATCTTCCTCAGATCTCCCTACCCTCCCTGCTGTAATTTGACAGTCTGCTTGTTGCTTTACTGTCTCTATATCTATCTTTTGGTTCATCAGTTTATAATGTTCTTTATTATCCATAAATGAGTGAGGTCATGTGATGTTTCTCCTCCTTCTCTTCTTTTTTTTCCCCCTCTCCCTCTCCTTTTCTCTTCCACCCTCTCTAAAAAGAATTTTAAAAAATCAATGGAAAAATTGTACTCAGTGAGGATTAACACACACTCAAAACAAAAACAAAAAAATCCTGGAAATAGGAACAAAAGTAGACTTTTATATGTCAGAGTAAGTCAAATGCTGAAGATAGGAAAAGGGAAGAAAAAAGGGGCAGCTCATTATCATGAATCTGCATACTCCAAAGTCAAAATATGTATCCACTGTATAGAGGAAAGCCTTTTGCTTGTCCCTATACCAACACAAATTTAAAACTTCTGAGGAACTTTGAGTATAATTTTGGGAAAAGGATGTGGTTCAGGGAAAGATTTGGAAGAGCAGACATGGGAGAAGAAATCTGCTGTAAACTTAGAATAACAGTAGTAAAAAATACCAAGATAGAAATTAAATGGGGAGTTATAGTTATACTAGAGGCCCAGTGCACAAGATTCATGCATGGAAGGGGGTTCCCTCAACCCATCCTACACCCTCTCCAATTGAGGACCCTGCCAGGATCGGGCCTAAACCGGCAGTCGGATATCCCTCTTGCAATCTGGGACTCCTGGCTCCTAACAGCTTACCTGCCTACCTGCCTGACCACCCCTAACTGTCTCTGCCTACCTGCCTGATTGCCCCTAATTGCCCTCCCCTGCCAGCCTAGTTGCCCCCAATGGGCCTCCCCTACCAGTCTGATCTCACCCCCAATTGCCCTCCCCTCCCGGCCTGTTTGTTCCCAACTGCTCTCCCCTGCTGGCCTGATCTCAACCCCAATGGCCCTCCCCTGCAAGCCTGATCTTGCCCCCAGCTGTCCTCCTCTGCTGACCAATTTGGTTCTGATTGGTCAGTTTCTATGCCAGTCAGTTTCAATAGCTCCACCTCCTACGTAGCCATTGGTTCTTCACAGCACCCACATTTGGTTCTGATGGGTCAGTTCCTATGCCAGTCAGCTTCTCTGGTCCTATCAGTGGGGCCTGATCAGAAAGGCAGGGCTGATCAGCAGCCACAGTGGAGGTCTGGAGAGAAATTGAGGCACAGCTGCTGGCCAGACTGGGGGAGAGAGAGAGGCAAATGCTGATCAAAAGCTGCCATAGAAACAATAGATCAGTCCCTGCTTCTCTCTTCAGGCCTCTCTCTGGCCCTGATTCGCAGCCCCCTCAGCTGTCAGTGCTGGGACACCACGCCTGCAGCAGAAGCAATCAGTGCTGACTTCCAGCTGGTTGAACCTTGGTCATTAGTGATCATTATGACCCAAGGTTTTTATATATTAGGATATTTTAAAATTTAGACATAATTTTAATTATATTCATTTTATTTTTATTTTGTTTTGTTAGAAAGGAGTAAATACAGGGGAAATGACTCAGATTTATGGTGAGTATTTCTCCCTGAAATGGAAGTTTCACTCACTAAAACAAATTAAATCAGGACAAATATTAGAACACTAGAACAGAAACAGTGGAATGGTTAGTTCTCCAAAGGAAATAGCCTATAATTTGAAATAAAGAGGGAAATTTGATATTTTTATTTTATTTTTTAATCTTCACCCAATGATATTTTTCAATTGTTTTTTTTTTTTTTTTTTTTGAGAGAGAGAGAGAAAGAGAGGGAGGAAGGCAGTAGGAAAGACACAAAGAGAGAAAAATCCATAAATATGAGAGAGACACATTGACTGGTTGCCTTCTGCAGAGGAACTGGGATTGAGCCTGCAACCCCAGGCTCAGGGTGATATGCAGCCTTTGGGACTAACCAGATAGTGGTGCCCTTACATGGAATCGAACCTGGGCCCCTTCGGTCTGTGGGCCAGTGCTCTATCCAGTGAGCCAAACCATCTAGGGCAAGAGTTTGAGATTTTAAATACAAGAAAAAATATAAAATAATGAACTAGAAACAAAAATAAAAGTGCCTCTAAGAGAAAATACACTAAAACTG